GCACGCGATTAGTAAATTGAATGGAAGCGTTTGCAGCGTACCTACCCACGCTGCGCTTGATCTGCTTACGTCTTTTGCAGGACCAGTCGTCGCTTCGGTGGTGACCCCGAGTGGCCTCGCTCATGACTGACTAGGCCTGCCTGACTCAGGCACTCTCGACCGCATGCGCTACAGCACTATGCACTTGACGTCGATGGAGTACAACCGATCGGCACTTGTCCCTTCCGCAATTAGCGCTTCTCTGCATGCATGATATCTTTCTCCCGCACTTTGGCAATTGCCTTCGTGATCAGATCGCACCATGTACGACGATCAACCGCCTTCGATTCCCATGACCTGCAATCAAGAGTAAAACGTGAGAGGCTCACTTTGATCATGTCCTCCTAACGAAGCTTCAGTTTCCCCGCATTTCGCTTCCCTATACTCAGCTGAGCATATAATAGTTGTTTCGGTATCCGCGTCAAATCCATACGGCCCACATGACCGAGTCACCTCAGGTGCCTCAGTAGCAGTATGCAGTCCACTACATACATCCCACTTCGGCGTAACACTTCCGTGTCCGCAACTCTGTCGCACCAACCGATGCGCAGAATCCGTCGCAAACACTATTGATGGAAGTGCTCGGGATATCGCACATTCCGCCGGTACATCGTCCACGGTTCACTGCCGTATAAAGGAACGGACAGCACCATGGATTTGTACACCGTCAGCTTCGTGCCAACGGTAAATTGATGTTTGTTCCACACTCGGTACTCAAGCTTCCTGAATGCCGCTGTTGCCATCGAGACGCGGATACGCAGCTCACTGTCAAGCTGCTGGTCAATCGACATCACACTCCCAAGGTAGCAGAAGTGGGAGGTGGCTTCTAATACTTCAGCGCCAACGCTGACTTGCAGCAATATTGAAGATTGCATCTCCGGTGAAGGCTGAAAGAGGCAGACAGTTTTGCTTGTGTTGATGGCGAGTCCGAATTTGGCCGCTGTCGAAGCCATAGCACTAGTCATGTGTTGCGAATCATCCGCGCTGTGTGCAAACAACGCGATGTCGTCAGCAAACAGCAACATACGGATAGTTGTCTCACAGACCAGGGTTCTCGAACCGAAATGACGGATGTTCATCAGCCCACCATCAATACGGTGCTCCACACGAGCACCGTAAACACAAGCGACATCAAACGCACAAGACATCATTGCATAACTATTAAACAAAGTAGGAGCTAAGACACAGCCTTGCTTCACACCAGTGACAACTGCAAAGTCATCCGAGGTCTCTCCACTCAGCTACACTCTCGCCCGCATACCAGTGTGCAGGCATCCAATTAGCCTTGCAAAATTACGTGGGCAACCGAACTTATTCAACACCACTCACAATGCCTCGAGGTTCACCGTATCAAACAACAACAAACACCTAGTACAATGTCGTTGTGTCGTTCTCTGCACTTCTCCTGCAACTGACGAGCCGAAAGCACCATATCTATAGTGCTGCAACCCGAACGGAGTCCACACTGCTCTTCCGCAACGTTAGGTTCCACAACCTGCCTGACGAGGCGGTTGAGCAGGATTCGGGCAATCACCTTTCCCACACAACTAAGCAAGTTGATGCCACGATAATTCGTGTAACATTGTTTTCTCCCTTTGTCCTTGTACAGTGGTAGCACAAGGGTATCCTTCAACTCAGCAGGCACCTCCTCCTCAACGTACACACGTTGCACCCAGTGGTGCAGCGCATTTACGAACGCGTGCCCGCCATGTTTTAACGCTTTATGCGGGATGCCATCGGCACCGACACAGTTGCCGTTTCGCAGCTGAGCGAGTGCAATGTGCATCTCATCCAGTGTCGGCGTTGTCGCCGGATTCGCCTTCACCTTGTGTTTCTTCAGGTCGTTCAAATTAAGCCAGGTAATCTCTGAACGGTTGTTCAGGAGGCAGTCAAAGTGTTTTTGCCGGCTCTGCAGTCCGTGTGCAGGCAGCGCCTGTACTACCATCGATTAACGTCCGCAGCGGCTCCAATCTCGGTCCATATACCGCCTTCAAGAAGTCAAAGAATTCCTTGTGTTGGCGGCGTTCGATGTAACATTCCATCTGCTTCGCCTTCTCCGTTCACCATTCATTTTTAATGCGACGGAGGTCGCAATTCAGTTTCCGTCGAATCCTGCGAAATTGACTGTTCTTCAAGTCACTGGGGTCTGCCACATGTGTGGCATATGTTGAATTCTTCTCAGAATCCTTACGCCAATCGTCGCATTGTTCTCATCAAAGCAATCGGTTGGCTTACGTTTTGCGCACGCGACGGTCTCTTCGGCAGCAGCTGTCACCTGGTCGCAAATGTGGTGCCACAGGTCGCTAACTGTGGCTATGCATTCAACGTCACACAGGCGTGCAGCTATCGCTTTCTCCAGATCGATACGTTTCTCCGCTGTTCCTATTGAGAGAATGGTAAATTTACGCCTCCGTCTCATGGCAGACACACAGTACGTACTTTTCCGCACGTAGATGTACATTTTGGTCCCGGAATGATATTGGCACTGGTGCGCGGTGTGTTCAGGCGTTAAACACCCAGTATACATTTGCTCCAGAAGCCATTTTCTCCAGGGAAATGATTAAAGTGCGACACAGGTCAGAGAGGAATCAGACCAGACAAGAATGGATGCTAGACGGGGGCGCTAAGCATTGTTGATCCCCATACGCTTAAATTCAATGTATCAGCAGTACGCTACAGCGCAACCACCAACAGTTGCTCGTCTACTACGGATACTGCGAAGGTCGCCCGATCGCATCGGATGACAAGGTAGGCTTGCGTTGCTATAGGCTACTTGTTGGAAGCCTCAACTACGTATCTTCATTTGTTGGGTCCAGCAACAGTTGAAATCGCGCACTGACAAGTCGATATAACACTTTTTTCTCCGACCTGTCCATGTTACCGTACTTTTATGAGTACGTGATTGGCTTTCTGTTTGAGTAAAACGTAACAAAAGAAGAATCGCGACTCTCAGTGCTGTTGATTCACGTACGTCTTCGCTCACAAATCATTCGTTGAGTGCGGCAGAAATCGAAATGAATGGCATAGAGTAGCAGAGATCTACCGAGATGCGTACATTTTGCCACGCTCTCGTTAGGACACCGCTCTGAGTAACGAAGTAACAGCACCGTGATTTTCTACATTGCATCGAGCCTGTTCCCATGCAAACATCATCAGCTATCTGGCCGGATCATATTAAGCGTGTAGAATGAAGATGTTACTAATACATGCAGTCGGTAGTGGAGCAAGTGAAATCAATGGTGGCTAACTAACAGCCACTTGCACCTGCTGAGTATCACAGGATTTTTTTGTCTGAATCATTGTAATACCGAACATCAGGGACATGTTGGTAACATCCAGCTGCTTGTTGACCGATATTTCTTATTCTATCTTACTACATACTTGACTACATGAAAATTCGAACAGTGTCTGGTATGAGTCCTTGAAATGTACGGTATTCGCTCACTGTTCCGTATCACGCTACCTTTGACATCCCAAAACTTGTTTCTCTGCCGGACTGTAAAACAGACCGAAAATCAGACGAAAGATTAAACCTGATATAAATTTATTCTGCGTAGCAATGGCGCTTCTGAATATAATCCATTACAACACTTGCGGCATTGTTCATACTTGTAGACGCTTAAAAACATCTCTGTACATGATCTCTGTGTTACAATCTCTTTATTGCGGATATTGCTGTACGTAACTGGGGCATATGCAAGGTCTACCTATAGCTTGAAAACCTCGGGCTCCCTGGTGAATTGATGTTCTGCCAACAGATGCAGCTGCCTATTTTTTGGAAGTGATATACGAGAATGTAATTTGTTCCATAGCATTGAAAGAAGCAAATTACTTTATTCCCATATTACAGACTCTGACACGCTAGGGATAACATTATTATTAAGAGTCAGGCGGCCAGTTGAATCATCACAAGCATGGTATGGTGCGTTACATTTACTTGCGCCAAAGTGCAGTCTCCAGGTGATGGTCGGATCAGACTGCTTGTGTGCTGAATGACAATGAGCTCAAATTCATCGGTACTGAGCGTATCACCGTTTTGTACTCTCAACTGCAGATCAAACTCGCCACTCTCATCATTTTCGGAAGCAGCGGTAAATCTCGTTGAAGATTAAACATAACTATGCGATCGGTCATGATCGACCCATCACAGATAACAATTTTGGCTGCGCCACTTAGTCTGCCATCGAACCAGGAGCTTGAGAATACCGTACTCCACATTGCTGCTCTTCAGAATAGCTTTCCATTTTGTACTTTGCATTCTGTGTCGCTCGTACTGCTCTTTGTCTCAGAAACAAAGCGAATTCATTCGTTCCTTCCCTTTAATCTGTTCAGCTTGGTAGGCGTTTTCTGTGAAGTGCCAATACGCATAGCAGGTCATTACAATCGCTTAATGCGCTCTGGGCTACCACCTCGATTGTAAAACACATCCCAAGTTTGCACATCTTGAAATATGCTTGGAACTGATCGAGAATTCATGATTTCAGAAGAGTTTGCAACCAACTGGTTTTTATATTTTATGCCAAGTTTTGCTTTTGGCACAAATGCATCTTCTGACCATTTGAACCTGCGGATGACTGGTGTGACATTTATGACAAAGGTAACAGTATTCTTGTGTATTCTCAGCTAATAGCTAAAACCTACAAGCACCTCCACTTCATTCGTGGTACAGTGATGGATATTACACCACTTGATAACTGTTCGATGGCGAGACAGAGGTACCTTCACGACCGGTCCGTTTTTAGTAACGCCTTATTTTGCCTACGTGGGTTCTGCGCATAACGAGCAATTCCTTGTGATATACCCTTTTTCACCCTCAAAAGCTTCTGAATTTTTCTCGTTTTCGGTTCCTTTTAATGCGAACACTGACCATGGTTCCAAACAACACACGAATTTTCAATTCCACTTGACAATCGTAACCGGATTGGGCTTCGTTGTCTTTCTCTCCGGCTTTCGGATCACAGTGCCAGACGCTTTACCAAGAGATTCGATCAGCAATGCAGAAAACTCCCATTAAAATCCCTCATGAAAGTGCCGGTACGTACTCGGTCACAAAGTATAATTTGAAGATCGATTAACAGTCCTCCGTTTTGTGCTTTTCTGCCTTTTACTCCCTTGTAATGCATTCTTACACAGGTGTAGGGACCTCAACTTTAACATTTCGGGAGCCGGCACCATGTTGTCCGCCCAGATGCAGGTCCTCAGTAGACAGTTTCCAATGTGAGCGTTCAGATCAGCGACCATCACAGTGTCTATAACGGTTCTGTAACGAAGGAGCTTGTTCATTTAGTGGTAGATGTCATCTTTCACCACATTGGCACTACAGTTTGTGGGGGCGTATTCACCAATGGCAAGCAGACACCCGAGCGAGTGACTACTTCGTCCCAGAGCCCGCTGTCTAACTTCTACCTTGTGTCTTCTATGTTTGGACCGATCTCAGTAATTTAGCCATGGCTGGTACTTTTCAATGACGCACTTGGCGCTTATACACGAAACCCCAGCATCTATAACGCTTGTCCGGCTATCCAATGGGCAATTTGTGTTGAACAGCAAATGCACTCACGCATGCACCTGCGTTTGGAGCGCGCACAATCGCGCGGAAAGCCATGCATTTCTTTTTACCTTTTGATGGCATGCATGACAGCCCTCCGACAGAGTCAGTTCGTCAAGAGATGGGCACAGAGAGACCACATGAGCCAGTCAAAGTGTCGATAGCTTCGGTCACAGCGCGGCATGCTATGGTTCATTCGGGGCAAACTAAGCCAGGGCACACGAGAAGCATATTTGGCAGTTAATGTGGGCGGGCATTGTAAATTGTTTAAACATGTCACGATCGAAAACTGTCGTTATGTCTTGTTGTGTGATACGAGTTTACGTGCAGTTATATGAGTATTCGTTTGCTTTCATTATTTTGCTTTCATTTTAACTCAGCAAATCTCGTTGCAACAGTGAATTATACTACGGGGAACTACTCTTTCTTCGGAAATCTCTTATGTCTAGAGATTGTCAGCTACCGCGTTACCTATTATTACGTTGCTCCCTTCTTCGCCCCACTGTATTACACATTGTCCATGTACCTCAACTACACGTACCTTTGTTATCATGTAGTTGTATTATTTTACCGAGGACTAGATTACAGCGATCTTTCTGTTAAGGCCGCGTTGGATAAGACCCAACCGAGTACGTAACCCTCGCCCGTCCAGAAGTTCACGCGGTGGGCGATCAGTTGTATCATGCGCTTAAATGAGAGCAGCGACGCACTGATTCTCCTTACTTCAAAGACGACTGCGGAAGCATACAGTTTCTTGACATCACTTAGGTTGCATAGACTAGGCACATTAACACACTTGGGTACTCGAACGGGGTTCTCTGCCACACCTCGCATTTGTAAGCATTGCCATGACAAACAACTTAAGGTTGCGTTAAGCACAATTGCTTTGAAACATATGGTTTCAACGCGTCAATGGCACAGAGCGCTCTTAGAATTCTGTACACCCCGACCCACTATTGGCAGCAATCGCCCGATGATCACTTTTGTATTTAAATCACCGACCCGTAGCCTTAAAGATCACTAGCCCATTTTGTAATCTGAGAGTGCGGATTCTAGCGTGCTTAGGGGAAATGCGACCCTTGCATATATATATATATATATATATATATATATATATATATATATATATATATATATGGTTTGCTGCATCCGGTTTCGGATTTGCCTGTCAGTGTGGCCAGCCACAGGACGCCTGCGCCTACAGAGGGACCATTGGTTGCTTGCGCTGCACCATCCACAGTTCCACCCACACACCCTATATCCGGTGTAAGCCCGAAGAAATAAGACCGGGAGGCATGTGGATGAGAGCCAGGTTTTATCAGCGGAGCCGGCCCACATTCCTTCTACACGCAGAACAGAAACATTCCGACCTGATTGGGAAATCATGCACACTCGACGTACACGAGGCTGTGGCTGGGCCTTAGCCCGTTCCGCACAGGTTGCATGGAACCACTCTTCGAGCCTTGCGCGGCCACGAGGTTAGTGCACCCCGTCCCCTTTAGCAACGATCAGCTGTATCCTGGAGCCAGCAGTCGAGGTGGAGGGAATTAGACAGGTAGGGACCTTGTCAACATTCACATCAGGCGTAGCCACACCAGGGAGCTCAAACAACATCTACTTCTGGAATGCATGAATTCTCAGTGTACAGGCAAACGTACCACATACGCCGCCTTATTGGCCTGGATTAATAAATCGAATGGGAGCGTATGCATTATGCTTCTATTCCGTGTGCAATGGTGCCTTCTGCACCTGGGCAACCGCTCTTTTGATCTGTCCACGGAATTCGCGTCAATCAACTGCCTTGGATTCGTAACACCTGAAATCAACGTCAGTTTTTCATAAACTCGCCTCCTTCATGTCCTGGTATTGTTATTTTCGGTTTATCCCTGTGCCGCTTCCCTGCACTAAATTAGTCGTTCAGAAGCGGTATGAGTATTCTCGTCGAATTCATTCGGTATGCTTATATACATGGATTGTCCTCATTCATATCCAATGGCAGTTCAAATACAACATATGTACATGCTTTTGTCCAGATCTAAGTATGAACTGCCACAAACTGGATAGAGACACATTACGCCGCATGAACAAGAGTATTAACAAAGTGTATAGGTATCGTTTGTAGGTCAGGCTAATAGCCACTTTCACCTAATACAAACTGTTGATATTTTTTACCTTTCGACGTGACAGCCTTGAATCTTGGGCATCCATATTTGGACGAAACCGATATAGGAATAGGGACGCAATTGCCATCAGTACGATTACCAGGTAGAATGTTAGATAAACAAGCAGTACAGTAAAATATTGTGTACTTAGGTTTTGTCGCCTATATGCACAGTCTAGTTTGCGTAGCTGATGGGGAAGATCGCACAGCGTGCGAATGCGATGGGGTGTTCACTTCAGTCTCTCCGTGTCGCCGACCGGTCCGATCATCTGCTGCCCGAGGTACGATTGTTGCGCAACCTTAAACATTGGCAGGTGTCAATACCACATATTCGCCGCTTACAGCGTCTTTGGAGCGACAGCTACCGCCATCCTACATCAACTAATTCCCGCTGCTCACTGTCAAACATGCGGCGTTCTGAATACTGATCGCACTGTTTTGCGTTCAAGACATAGTATGGCTGTCATCCAAGTACTCAACCGTTTGTGCATGCCGCTGTGTACTCTGCTGTGACTATAAGCTATTTGGTAACGATTTGCATCTTACGTCTTGTGTGCAGCCATTCGGTGCTCCTAAAACGATTATCGCTATGCGCCGATTCATTTCCGATATAAAATACTAAGACACTGACGTACCATTACCATTGGCATTCCCTTTTTCTTAGTCTACACAGAAGATTGGCCATATCTAACTCAACTTGTGGTAAGGGTCTCTGCGCTTCCGTCCTCAATCCCCTTGGTACTTGCGTTTTCACAAGCCCCGGTAAATTCCGTATGGCTGATGTACGACGGGAAATAAAGCTATACTCACTCTCATCAGTAGCCTATGGAGCGGAACATGAACTGTCGACATCATGATAATCTCTAGTCAGTTAACTGTCAGGATTGTTCATTTGTCACGGATTTTCCAGGGTAATTTCTCTTCGGATGTATAACCTAACGTGGTCACACGAGGGACAGTCGTTGAGCATTGTGCCCCATTTGTCAAACTTTAGACATTATGCGCACTGTCAGCGGCCAAGCGCTGGTAACCTTTGGATTATTTACACCTATCTACCGAACTGGAAACATATTCACTAATTTGCCACCCTATCATTGATACGTATCAACAGCACAGTTCGCCCCAAAACTCTGAGCCCAGGTCAATTACGAATGAGCTCATGGATAGACTGAACCTTTATCCGGCGATGCATCGGCTCTCTAAACGTCGTGCTAGTTAGCAGTGGACAGCTGGTCAAGCTAGGGTTATGTACTTTACAAATCGATTTCAAGGGGCAGAATGTAGATAGCATAGGCCGGTGAGCAATACCATGGAGCTTACCTAGTGATGTGAATCGCGGCCGAATAAGGATACGAAGAGGAAGATGCCGTAGCTCGTCATCTGGGTATGTCACCGTACTACAATCTACTTGAGAAGGTAGCAAGGGTATCATCGATCATGATGATAACAACAGTGTAGTGGATAACACTTGAAATAACCGCGAAATATAACCGAGTTAGGTAAGGCAAACACAGGTAGGTTAGATGTGGCTCATCCGTTCTAGGCAGATGCAATAAAGATACTACATTGCACCAAGTCGGTGGTTAATCATTCTAGAGTGTAACTGTATCCAAACGCAACTTAGATGTACGATAGAATAAGGATGCCACAAAGAAGATGACGGTGATGGAGTAAACAAATTTACAAGTTAGCAGGGAAATGGTGCGATTACTCCCACTGATTTTTATAAGCTCAGCTAAGTCAAAGCTCGCAGTGAAGAAACGGGAATCATTGCTTTGCTCACTTTAAGTAAGAAGTTGTAGCATAGTGGAACAGTGATGACTTATCGTTGGTGTGTGCTGTGAATGCCGTCTCTTATATTAACTGCAGGCTATCCGTGTTAAAAGGTAAACTCGATCCGGTAATGATCGTCTCTGGTACTAGGTGAGTGAGAAGTAACAGGTATTTGGAACCACCAGGTAGTCCGTCGTGTGTTCCTATTTATTTCCCCCTGGTCATTCATTCTGACCGCTAGCATATCTCGACCAATTCATCAGTGCCTAGAATACTATCTGTGCCAAAGCATTTCGATTTGCATGTCACATCGTGTTGTCGCTGTCCGTGAATCAAAATGGATGACTTGTCTGAATCTTAGTGAGCAGTACAGATGCATTTGACCTGGCTACATTGACATCACATTGCAACCCGCAATAAGTCACGGTGTCACACGAGAAGACTATAATATGATCCATCTGTCAAGTGAGAACGTAGCGAGATACGAACAGTTGTTAACACGACTTGTACTTTGGATGAGCCCCATTTAGACATCGAGCTTGCAGATAATAG